ATATATAAGAGGGTGACGCGGGGAATGTAATGTGTGTGTGAAGATAGTGAGTAATTGAACTGCAGTCAGAAGTATTGTTGACGTTCGTTGATTAGCGTTTGTTTTAGCGCGATTGTTGAAGTTGAGTGTATCGGTAAAGTTATATTCGGAAATAATAAATCAGTTTTATTAAGAAAGGACTTGTGTCGCTTAAGTTTCGTCGGAACGAAGTTGCGGAAAGTTAATTAACAAACGGAGACGTAACAATATGATATGCTATAAACCAGTACAGGTACCGACTGCAAACCCGAAATCAAATACTTTAGACAGTCAAGATAAAACAACGTTTGGGTATTTTATTATTATTATTAATTGATGGTTAGATTGCATACATATATTCTCCTTTGAAAAGGGAAGAAAGATAATGAACTTCGTTATTAATAATTAAAACGTATAGAAAATCCATTTTGGGGCACTAGTACCGATCACATAATATATTTTTCATTTATATTATAGTAAGCTAGGAGGCATGACGTTAAGGTCAAGTCAGTTTACTAAAATAGACCTAAGAAGTTCAAAATTTGACGTTACGAAAATCTAGTAAATTTGTGAAATATCTAAAGACGCGATCTAACCTATATAAAAGCCAACGTGTGCCACTTCACGTCACCTTTGATTTCTCGAAATAGCAGGAATCATAAAAGTCAAAATGCATTTATCCAAATGGCATAGTTCGATTACTGCCTGCCCGTTACGATTTTAGTGACGGGGTACAATTGGACCGTGAGGGGAAGGGGGGTGCCGTTAAACCTTATAAGTGTAGTGAGTGTTGGTGTAATAAGCCGAAAGTAAATACGTATTGTGGAATCACTTAGCCTAGAGCCAAGTGCATAAAATTTATCATGAAAGTAAAAATATCGATTCAACTTTAAACTTAAATCGTTTCTGAATTAAGGTATTTTATATCACCAATGTTTTTAATAAAAAACAAACGTCTTCAATCAATGGAGACTCTAAATTAAGAAATCAACAAATATTTTTTTTCTGTTTTGTTGTCTATGCATTTCATTTTATACTTTCAGTACACAGACTAACAACAATTTAAGTTATATTTTTGTTGCTAAGCAACATGACATAAAAGCCATTGTTGGAGCGTAGTGTTAACAAAACGTACTGACTTTTCTATATATCAGAAGTTGTTAATGTAACTGATTTTTACCAATAATTATTCTATGAATACGGCCACGAATTCATGTCATGAATGATATTAATTTTGATTGGCTCATAAAGGAATTTCTGCCTCTTTGTTGGTCAAGCTTGATTTCGCAAAATTTATTTACTTCAATTAGCTATGAAACGTGAAGTCAGGTAATTCTATGGGGTGGGGATAGCAGTACCTGCCCAGTCATATTTGACGGGCTATACGCTAGTTAGATTATAAATACGATGTAACGAATGTATTATTATGCATTTATTTTTAATATGAGATATGCGTGACTTGTAGTATCAGATATGCGTTGCATATAACGAATTTGTTATATATTTATTTTAATGTAAACGCTTGTTTCGAATAAGTTTATATTTGAGGGCGTGTCTAGAATACCGTGTTAGTTACGTATGGCGAAACTCCCGCCAATTCTCCAAGGTTGTAGGATATTCGTGAACATG